CGAAGGGTGAACTTAAGTTAAATGCAGAGACTCAACTCTGTGGGTCAGTGCCCCTGGTCCCGTGCTGTGCTTGGCCCAGTGCCTGGCATAGAGCATCTGCTCAACATGCATCCAATTTAAAAAAAAAATTTTTTTAATATATCTTATTGATTTCAGAGAGAGGAAGGGAGAGGGAGAGAGAGAGAAAAACATCAATGATGAGAGAGTTGTCACTGATTGGCTGCCTCCTGCATGCCCCCGACTGGGGATCAAGCCCGTTGCAACCTGGGCATGTGCCCTGACCAGGAATCGAACCGCAATCTCCTGGATCCTAGGTTGATGCTCAACTGCTGAGCCACGCCCAGCCGGGCAAGACACGTTCAATTATTTGTAAGTATTCAGGTGATGATACGTGTATAACTAAATAAACTTTTATTAAACTGCTAGGGAGGAAATAAGCAGGTGCTGTGATTACTGAGGAGGGGAGAAGGGAAGTTCCTACTGTGAAGAGGGGTGGACAGGGATGCCTTCTGGGTCATATGACCTGAGATCTGGGTAAAGACAAAGAGCTGGACGTGAGAAAAGCCTGGGGAAGAGCTAGAAGGAAAGCTCAATGAGGGAGGGACTTTTGTCAATCTCTTCAACTCTGTGTCTCCAGACCCTAGAAAATGCCCAGCCCACAGTAGGCATTCAGTAATGTGATGCAGAATTAATGAATAAAGTATATTTCTGGCAGAAAGCACAACAAATGCAAAGGCCCTGGGGTCAGTGCTAGCTTGGTGTGTTAAAAAACAACAGAGGGAAGGCCCACAGGGCTCAGTGTAGTAGTGGACATGCTGTGGCTGGAGTGCGGCAGGTGGGTGGCCTGGGATACGTTCAGTGAGGCAGGAGGGGTCCGGTGACAGAGGATCCTGTCAGCCATAGTTTAAACTCAACTGTATTTATCTTTCAAAGGGATGTCACCTAAGGGCTTTGGCAGAGAATAGTATGATCCGGTTTATTTCTTTAAAAGATCACTGGGGCTGCTGTGAAGAGAGGATGATTTAGAGAAGCAAGAATGGAACCAGGAGCCCATCTGAGAGGCCGAGGAATCGATTTGAGCAGGAGAGCTGGAGGCTTCTACCCGAACAGTGACTCACTTGGGTTGGGGGTGGGGGTGAGGGTGAGGGTGAAGGAAGGGAGAACTGTGGAGTAACTCAGGGCTCCACGTCAGCAGCCACGACGTCTGTGCTCCTCACTGAGGGGCACGCGGCCAGGCGCCAGGAGCTCGGCTCTGAGCTGGCTCCCAGACACTGAGCTCGGCAGAAACTCAGGGGCACCCACGCGGAGCGGCACACGTGCCGTCGTCCAGGGAGACGCCATGGACGGGTCTTTATTGGGCAATAAGAGACATGCACTCTCTCCTGTCCCTCTTCTTGTTGGGCTGCCCGAAGGTTCCAAACGCAACATAAATCATACCGAACAACTGTCTTCCCAGAAGTTCTGGGTGTGACAATCTACTCCTCTTACTTGCCCTCCTCTTTAGGGTATCTAGTTCCCTTTTATCTACAGTCTTTTTTGTAAGTATATGTACTATTTTAACATATGTAAGAACTGAGGCAGTGCAGTGACCTGATTTGGGGGGTCCGGCAGACTGGCGTGATCTGGGGGTGGGTGCCTCTGGTGGGAGCTCCCCAGGGCATTAGCTACGCCTCCTCTTTGCAGGGCAGTGTCCAGCTCACAGCAGGCAGTACCTGCAGTACACGTATGTGCACTGTGTGTGTCACTCATCTGTAAATGAAAGGGGTTGAGGCCTTGTTCGAATACAGTAAGGCTTCATTCTAAGATGTTTAAACACAATATGGTGCAGGATGAAATACCAACATGCAGTATAGACGAATGCTAGTTAGTAAGGGCAAATCTTCAGATCCTGGATTAAAGGACTTCAGGCACAGGAGGAAAAAAAAAAAACGCACTGGCTTTAAAAGATGCCTGTGTTTGGACCTGTGGACGCACATTTCAGAAAGGAGCCAGTAACAGGGTCAGTGAGGCGCCTCCTCTGGCCGCAGGGAAATGACTTTGCAAAAAAATGCACAAGGGGAGGGGGCTGGAGAGACCAGGGAGACTGGTGTGGACATCCCTGGGTGCAGCAACTGCATGACTTAGAGTCCTCGAAAGTTACACGTTTCTTAGAACTTCAAAGACAAAGTTTAGGAAGATCACAGAAATTCAACATGTAGGATGGACAACAAAGCAGAGCAACTGCTAACTCAGCCCAGGCTCAGTCCAGGCGTAAGTAAGTAAGAATCTGATAAAACGGAGGCCACAGGTCACAAAAAGCCCGAACCAACCAAACTTGGTGATACAATATGGAGAAAGGCAAAGAAGAGAATCAGATTTTAATTTGGGGTCTGAGAGCAAGCGGTCAGTATGGTTAACAGAAATCTGGGAGAGAGCAGCAGAAAGTGACTTCAGAAGAAAGTTGGAGCCTGTGGTTTCACGCAGGGTAAGTTTAAGCTGAAAGTGGCCACTCGCCACCTGAGGCCCACTCCTTACACACAGTGTGCCTGCAATCTGCTCAAGTCCTCCCCAGAACAGTCTGCCTGAGTAGTACTTCCACATAAACATGATAGAGAAACCCTTCACATAACACAATCTCTCCATGGCTGCAAAAGCAAACTGCTGTAGATAAAACCATAAACACAAAAATAAAAGAAGTGCCCAAAACTGTCCACTTCTAAAAAGCACTGTGATTTCACATTTGGATGTTTTTTGTATGAAAAGATGCTCAACGTTATTTAGCCATGAGAGAATTGCAAATTAAAACCTCAATGAGATACCAGGACATGGCTACTAGAATGGCTGAATTTTTAAAAGAACCTATAATAACAATGACGTGGGTGCAGAGCAACCCAGACTCTCCAACAGTGTTGCAAAACAGCACAGCCACTTTGGAAAACACTTTCACAGTTTCCTAAAAAACGAAACTTACACTTTTCCTACGACCCAGCAACCCCACTCCTAGGTAGGGAACAAAAACATACGTCCATAAAACACCTATATACAAATGTTTACCAGCAGCTTTATTCATAATCACCAAAAACAGGAAACAACCCAAATGTGCAGTAACTAGTGAACAGATACACAGGCCACTCCTTCCACATGATGAACACCACTTAGCGACGAAGGAACAAACTGCTGGTCAGGTGAAACCACGCATGACTCTCCACGGCTTTCTGACATGAAAGAAGCAGGCACACAATGCTAGGTAGTGTGTGGTTCTGTTTACATGGTATCCTGGAAAAGGAAAGCTACAAGTATTCCATACATATTTTGGTTATGGTGGCAGTAATAAACATTTATCAAAACTCATAAACATGTATACTTATAAAGGTTGAGTTTTTCTAAATGAAACTTATTCCTCAATAAACCCAACTTAAAAAAACCAACTATATATATAACATCTTAACATTTGCTCAGAAAAAACTGTTAAAGCTCAACATCGTTATCTAGGCTGACTCTGAAAAATTCTAGACCTTTAAAGCTAGGATACCACAAAGGTCCTTAACACTGAAAAGAAATACTTCCCAAGCTTCCCGTCTTCGGGCCTCACAGCATTCCGATGTAGAAGCAGAGAGAATGCTGGTTACTGAGACACTAATGAAGTGAGTCTTGTTTGCTGGACAGCTGCTGGCTCCACTGTCCTTTTGTCACACGCGAAAAAGGGGAGCAGTTATGCTCATGGACCGTGACCTTCTCACTAGATAGCTGTTACATCATGCCTGAAACCCTGCCTGAGAGCAATGTCACCAAGCACCACAAGGAAATGGCAAAAACAAAAATAAACAACCATGTAAGACCCCAAAACCTTGTATTAAATAAACTACTCCTTAAAATCAGATCTCTTATAAGAACTCGTTCTCAATACTTAATATTCCAAAGATTATTTTTTATGATTAGTGTTTTGTCTCATTTTATTATCCTCATATTATAACCTCCATAGAATATTTTTTAAAGTCCAGATCATTTTTGTTACTCTTCAAAGGACATTTTGCATGAGCACACCATGATTACTAATTCCACACAACAGTGGGAGTAATTCTTTTATTTTGTGTATTATCAAATGCATGCCTGGATACTTTGTCATTTTACAGTTTGGTCATTTATCAGCCATTTTCACTTGAACAAGGGCTTTCAAATTTTTCTGACCGTTATCCACAGTGAGAAACACATTTTACAATGAGCCTAGTACAGAGATGGGTGTACATGCGTTCACACCACCAAAGTTTTACAAAATAGGACTTATCCTCACCACGTAAGATGCACTGTTAATAATGTTCTTTTTATTGCAGTCTCTAAAATGCTGGCAGACACCCACACTACTCATATCATGACCCACAATTTTTAAAACCATAGCTTCAAAAGATGAAAAACAAACACGTCTCTGCATATTTGAACACCGGATTTTAAAAATTCATTTGTTTTTAAACAAATGAGTAACCTTTCCCTAGGCTGACTCATAACTCAGCAGGCTCCGCTCCTTCTCAGTGGGGTTCCTAGGCCTAGTGGGGTGAGCAGCAGAGGGAAGGGGAGTCAGAGCAGCGTGCCCCCTGCTGCCCACACCCACTGTTAGATGGGGGAAGCCTGGCCTGACAGTCAGGGCCTTGCTTCTTTCCGTTTTCATTTACCCTGGTCATCATTCCTTAACTTCTACACACACACACACACACACACACACACAGACGTGAAATACGGTCCTACTAGGTAGAGAAGGGCTGCAGCACAGAAGAAAGTAAAGCAGCTTTCCCTTCACATTTGAGGGTTTCACTTATGCCCTTACAATGATTTTTCAGCACCGCAGACACTGGAACAAGTGTTAAAAGACTGAATTGGCATGTAAACCACATATAAAAAATACTTTCAACTCTTAATAATTGAGTTTTTAAACTGCTAGTCAATATTATATTCTACTATTACACACTGAAACTATTGGGATTTATGATAATTAGAAAGACATTTTATATAAAGATTGGAAAACTTACTTTTAAGGACTCCCACAAGGGAAACTGGACCAATGAAAAAGGGATCTGAAGAGAGAAAAAAAAATCAAACACATTAAGCAGAGAGAGCAGACACTGCCTAGCATGACTACAAACCCGTAATTACTACTGAGAGCATCACTTCATTTCAGTGTAGGTAATAAAGCTAATGTTAAGCAAATGCATAGGTTTACCATAGAGTCATCGGTTTTGGAAAACCAGCTAACTGGCTGCCTTCAGGGCCCGACCTTCCTGAGCCCGTGGGACAGAGGGGCTGCGGTGCCCTCTCCATGCAGACGGGAAGCGGAATACGAAGACGCTCTGGCTACGAAAATGACAGGAAGGCTTTCCCATCACAAGTAATGAGGACTTGGAAGATTTGGCATATTTCTGCTTAAAAGCTAAAGCTGTCTGCTCCTTAGCAGCCAAGTATTAGGGTTAAAAGAGGAGGGATGGGGAGGTGACAGAGGGGAAGGGAGCAGGGGAGGGAGAAAGGGCTGGGGGTGGGCAGCAGCAGAGAGGGAAAGGACCAGGGAGGCAGGAGAAAAGAAGGGGAAGGGAGAGAAGAAAGGGGAGAGGGGACAGGAGGAGGGACATGAGGGGGGACAGGAGGGAGGAGGGGAGAGAGAGAAGGGAGAGGAGGGAGATGCTAGAGAAAGCTGAGGGGGAGAAAGGAGGGGGAGACAAGAGGGAGACAAGGGAGGGAGGGTAGAGGGGGCAAGGCAGGTGGAGGGGCAGGGAGGAGAGGAGACAGAGCTGTGGGCAGGAGTAAGCAGAGACACGGGACCCCAGGGGCACAGCATGGCCGTGGGAAGTCTGCACCCCTCAAGGAGGGAACAGCCTGCGGATGTTGGAGGAGTGGGGTCTCCTGAACGCCTGATGCACACAGAGAAGAGAGATCTGTAGGAAGGAAGGATGAGTGGTGGACATGACCACACTTACGTAGTAAATAGCAACAATTTGTTGTGTAACAGTAAGAGCAGAATTACCTGGCACTTTTCATGTGTCAAGCACTGTGCTAATAAGCACTTCATAGGTTTTATTTCACTGAATCCTCACAACCCTCTAAGACAAGTATTGTTACCAACCCGGTTTTACAGGTGAGGAAACGGAGGTTCAGAGAAGCAGTGTAACTCACCTAAAGGCAGTTATAATTAAGAAGCCAGGCGACCTGGCACCAGAGCCCTGTCTAGCACTCTACCCAAACACATTTAAGTGCGTTTATCTGCAGAGTACATTCACCCTCAGTATAATCTATTTGCTTTTAATTAAACTTTCCAAAATTCTAAAAATAGACCCTGCCTTCATATTTCCTAAAATAAAGGTACCTGGGCGGCAGTGGACCACCCTCACCAGCCTATGTAGTATCCACTCGCTGACCTGTGGGCCTGTGCTGGGGATGCAGCTGCTCCCACGCAGGCCATGGCCCAGTGCTGTTCTGTATTCAGCTCCCTGGCAAGTGAAAAGTAGATGTGGACTTCGAACGTTAACAATATGGGTATGTATGTGATTGTGTGTGTGAGAGCATGTTTGTGTGGGTGTATGTACGTGTGTGTGAGAGCATGTTTGTGAGTGCACGTTTGTGTGAGTACATGTTTGTGTGTGTGAGTGCCTGTTTGAGTGTGTATGTGTGAGAGCACGTTTGCGAGTATAAGTGTGTGTGTGAGTGCATGTTTGTGTATTTGTATGAGTGTGTGTGTGAATGTGTGTGAGTGCATGTTTGTGTGGGTGTATGTATGAGTGTGCATGTTTGTGTGAGTGTGAGAGAGAGACCACAATTTTGGAGGAATTAATGGCCCATGATTTAAGAGCAGTAAATTACTTCTAAAATATTTATATTTATTCAGAAATTAAGAGTCTAACACAATCTCTCTTACTCTGTGCCTTGACAGTGGCCACAGAAATCTGTCTTCCATTCAGACAGGAAATGGCAGTGAGAGAAATGTCAACAGATTACTTTAAGCTGACAAACTAGAATCTCAGAAAAGTTTGGCTTCTTCCACCTCAACCCATACATCAAAGTGCTACAACAGGAGTCCAATTTAGTTTAGTTTTGCCATAAAACCATGCAAGCATCTGACACTGTCTATTCTGAAACTAAAGTATTTCCAATTAAATGAATTATCAAAACCCTAATTTTTGAAAATGCGCAATACATAACAAAATATCTAAGAGAACAAGAGGCAGTGGGATTATAGGTGATTTTCACATTCTCCTTTGTACTCTTTTCCCCCAAATGTAAATGTGTCACGTTTGAACAAGAATGTAAGATGAGAAAGGCCTTATAACTTACTGTGACTGTCCATGTTCACATTTGTCACTGCTTGACAAAAATAACCCATAAAACTGCACTTAATGAGATCTGCACTGTTTGGGTACGTAATACATAATACAAAGTGAGGCAAAAGTAGGCTTACAGTGTGAGTACATGAAACAGTTTATTCTCGAATTTTACTTATTAATGTATTATTTTCCATACGAACAACTGTGAGCCTACTTTTGCCCCACCCTGTATTAGATTTTGAATCCTGCAGATGAACATTTTGCCCATTTTCCTCTATTACACATTACTCGTTATAGTGTTCCTTTAATTTTAAAGAAGTAATTTAAAATTCACGCATTTGAAATGGCCAAACTATTCCATTGGGTATGTATTTTTAAAAGTGGGCAGACAGTAAATCCCAACTTTATTCTCTAAAACAAAATTAACTGACAGTCTAAGGTAATTAAATGTGCTGTAAATGTTTAAATAATTAATTTTTTTTCTGGTTTCTAGTAATGAAATATCCCTCATAAGATAAATTCCTGATGTGTGGAAATTTTTCAAATATTCTTCAAGCCAAAATCTTACTGACTGCATCTTGTCATTTACCATATGAAGAAATAACAGTGAAACATGTTCCCCACTGTGGATGGGTGGCCAGCACACACGGCACTAAAACAAACCCTTCTCCCAGCCACTCCAGCTCCCAGTGCAGCCTGGCAGAAAGTGAGCTGCCTCCCCAGGTCTGCTTTGGAGTTACATAACAGTGATGTTTCTTCAAAACGTGGAATTTAAAACCTCAAACAGATGTAAGCTGTTATTCTAAAGTGTTTTATAGATGAAGAAAATGCGTAGCTACGCTCAGAGGTCTTATATTCCAAATACAACATACCCATTTTATTGCACCAACAGTTACAAATGGCTCACTGTTGTGACCCTTTTAATGCCTCCATTTAAGATGTTTGGGTTAAATAAGGTTGTTAAGACCCACGGCACTAATAAGTGAGCAGCAGTAAATCCAGCCACCATCAAAGAGGCAGAGGCAGAAGGGACAAAACCTGCTAAAATTTAACACGGATTCCACTAGCAATAAACATAGCAACAACTCTATGCATGAGTGCATGTGAGGAGTCCACGTGAAGTGGATAAATGAAATCTGGGCATGGTAAACAGGTAAAGGAAGTGATGGGCGTCACTAAAGAAATAAAGAACGTACAAAATTACATCGTGTGTACACACTGCCTATCACCAAGTACTAGACTAGAATCATCCTTGAAGCCAATAAATGCTTATAAAGCTGTGATCCTAAAATAAATGCCTGTAACCTTCTAAGTTCTTTAACAAATAATGATGCGATTGATAATATAACGGAGGGGATATGAAGACAAGAATTCTAAGATATCATTTAGCCCTAAAATTCTATTTTTTACTGGAAAGGTCAAATTAAAACATGAATACATTTAAAAAAAAAAAAAATTTGCCCTGGCTGGGTGGCTCAGTTGGTTGGAGTACTGTTCTGTACACCAAGGGTTGTGGGCTTGATTTTTGGTTGGGGTGCATGGGAGGGGAGCAGTCAATGTTTCTCTCTCACCCCCTTCCCCTTGCTCTCCTTTCCTCTCTCTCTAAAATCAGTGAATATGTTCTTGGATGAGGATTTAAAAGATAAGTAAATAAATAAGACTTGATTGTAAGCTGCAATGAACATACTACTATGAATGATCAAGGAAAACTAAGGAACAAGAAAGTATATTTTAAAAGCTGTGCAAGCTGTCATACTTTCAGAAATATCCCCCAAATTCTCTAGCAATAAGGGGGGAAAATCACAGAAAGTGCTAAGACCTCAAATCAGAAGGGCATTAAAGAATGGCATGGAGATGGGGGTGGGCCCAAGGACTGGCCCATACGATTTTCAAGGGATCCCACAGAGAGTTTCCCTTTTGCTGCAGGACAGTGTCCACATTTCTGTACTTGGTTTAGGATTTTCCATTCTAGTGTCGCACAGCAACAAAGCCATTTCTCCTCTTACGTGCTCTGTGCCTTTTTCCATTCAACCCAGTGGTAACCAAGGACAGTGAAGTTGAAAACTTAAAAACCTTTTATCCCAATACAACTTGTTATTAATTTTTTTTAAACTAAGAACTATTCAAATCTGATCTGCTAGCATATGAAATACCAAGAAAAAATTATAACATTAAATATATATTATTAAATTTAACAACTATAATCCATTTATGTGCACTGTACATAGTGAAAATAATGTACACATAATAAAGGAAATTAACCTAAAAGTAGGAAATACTGAAAGTGAATTATTCCTCAGGTTTCCAAAACATACTAAAATTCCTAAAGCATCTTTCCAAAGAAAGCAGAAATGTACACAAGAGTATGAAAATCTAAAATTGAAAAAAGATGAGTGTGAACAACTTGATTCTCAAGTAAATCTGTTAGATCTCAAAGAAAGGAACACTCAAAGTATCAAAACTTACTACAAAGCTACAGTAAGCAACACAGTGTGGTAGCGGCATCAACAGAGACATAAAGACCAATGGAAGAGAACAGAGAACCCAGTAATTAACCCTTGCAAATATGATCAAATGATCTTTGAAAAGAGTGCCAAAAGCACTCAACGGAGAAAGGACAAATGATGCTGGGTAAACTAGACATTCATATGCAAAAAAATGAAGTTGGACCCTCACCTTACACCATATACAAAAATGAACTCAAAATGGATGAAAGGTCTAAATGTATGACGTAAAACAACAAAACTCAGAGGAAGACCTTCATG